GGCCCCGAGGGGGACGGCGAGGAGGAGCCGCTGCTGGGCGCGACCCCCGCGGGCCGTAGCCGGGGCGCCGGGGCCGCCTGGGACAGGGACGCGCGCTGCGCCGCAGGTACCGCCCCCACCTCGGCCCGGGTCGCTGCTCGCAGCCGCAGCTCCTGCCTGAAGTTGCTCCATAAGGGGCCCTTGTGCCGCCGCCGCCGCGGCCTGTTGCTCGGGGCTTCGCCCCGCTCGGAGCCGGGCCACGTCCCAGCTCTCTGCGCGGACCTGCGAGGGGGCCCGCGGGCAGGGCTCCCCTGCCTCTTCTCAGCCTCTCTGGGCGCTTGGCTGGTCCTGGCTTCTTTCACTCGAGGCCCCAGTAAGGTGCATCAGCTAAAAAAGCCCTTTAGTTGATGTCCCTCCTCTGTGCCTGGCTGCTCCGTTGGTTATGAGGAGTGACGTGCTCAGGATCCCACCCGAGGTAGTTATGCCAGGACAGTGGCAGGGTTAATTGTGGTTATGTGGGCAGCAGTGGTGGGTTAATTGCCACCCCTGTGACAATGCTGCCACCTCTCTCCCATCACTAAATTGCAAGACGTGTGGAGGCCCACAGGCTGAATGACTTGGCTATGTGGCTCAGATTTGCCTCGCAGGCCCATCATTGAGTGAAGGTATTCTTCTCCAATGCATCACACTTGACACTTTTGCTTAGCCTCTGATTCCCTATAAATGGTCTATACATCTGCGACACGTACTGTTCTGTATGTTTCTATAACGCCTTTGTCACAAGCATCTGAAGAACTTCTTGTGGTTCTGTAAGCAACACGATGAGCTTTTGTCCTGGTTCTCTTTCCCATCTTCCCAAATGGGAAGTTTGAATTTGTATAGTTTTATTGGTTTTTTCTTTAAGATGTTCGTGCTGCTCAATTTTTGCGTTAGAAAGCAGGTTAAGAAAGTTCAGAACCTGAACTTGGAATGGAAGACAATGAAGTTTGTGATGGTCGCTCATTCCATAATCTAGAGGCAGCCCCTCAGTGCCTACACAGACAAATGTTATCCTTATGGCTTTATCCTTCATCCTTAAGTCCGTATCATCATATGCTGTAAGGCAGGGCTGGGGACCACACGTTGTCGGCTGCAGTGTTGGGAACCACACGTAGCACAGGCCGCAGACCTGGAGGTTGCTTGCTGCATGGGAATCGCTCCTCTCCAGCTTGCCCTTCTGCATGTGCAGCAGCACTCTCCTTGCTTCCTGGATTTGGGCACTGATCACGTGTTTTGGGGGAAGCCTGGCTCCGTCCTTTGTTATGTGCAGGATGAGCAACCTGGCCCCCTTGCTGTGCTTAGAGCTTGGGCACCCCAGCCCCTTCCCATTGCACTGCTCCGCCCCCAGTAGCAAGGAAGGGAGCCCAAAGGACCTGGCTGCCATGGCAGGAGCAACAGTGGCAGGTGGGGGGTAGGGTGGAAATAACATCTGGACAGAAGCCCTGCCTTAAGAATAAGTGCTATGGCCTTAAATCTGCTGTGTACAACTTCCCTTCCTCATTTCCCCGCCCCCCCCATTCCTCATGATCACACTTTGAGCACAATGTATGATCATAGTTAGCTCTGATTTCACTGCACAGTGTATAACGGGCAAATTCATACTGCTGAGCTGTGTGTTGTGGTGTTTATTCTGGGGGAAGGATGAGCTCAGAAAAGGGGTGAGAACTACTGAAAGGTCTCATTTCCTGTAGAAAATTGAATTCATGGGTTTTTTTTCATAAAGCAGTTCAGTAATCTGTAACAGACTTGGATGTAGTCCTGTGGATAGCTGATGTCAAGCAAAAATACTGTCATGATACTTTTTCTTCATTTCAGTAATGTTTTAAAGATATTTAAAACAAAGTTATACCCAAAGTATGATGAGGATCAGTGTACTACCTCATGCTCTCAGAACGCCCAGCAGGCACTACTAGTTGGTGGTCCCTGGAGAACAGGCTGCCATTGATCCTGCCTTTTTGTTGTTTCTTGATAAGTTTGCATTAGAAGACATAGATATATTGTTTCTCTCACTTTTTAGTATCTTAAAAACCCCTAAAAACTGCTGAA